TTCAGGGTGGGAATAAAAAGGGGGAAAAATGGGAGTTCAGGGTGGGAGAAAAAGTGGGAAAAACAGGAATTGAGAAGAGGGGGAGAAGCGGGAAAAAGGCTCCCAATAATCCAGAGAAAAGGGAGAAAAAAGTGGGAAAAACAATGGGAAAAAGAGGAGTTCAGGGTGGGAATAAAGAGGGAAAAACGGGAGTTCAGAGTGGGAAAAAACTGGGAAAAATGGGAGTTCAGAGTGGGAAAAAAGTGGGAAAAATGGGAGTTCAGGGTGGGAATAAAAAGTGGGAATTGAGGAGGGGGAGAAGCAGGAAAAAAGATCCAAATAATCCAGAGAGAATGGGGAAAAAAGTGGGAAAAAAAAGTGGGAAAAACAGGAGTTCAGAGTGGGAAAAAAGTGGGAAAAAAGTGGGAAAAACAGGAGTTAAGGGGGTAAAAAAAAGTGGGAGAACCAAGAGTCACAGGGTGGGAAAAAAGTAGAAAAAAAAGTGGGAAAAACAGGGATTCAGGGTGGGAAAAAAAGGGAAAAACTGGAGTTCAGGGGGTAAAAAAAGTGGGAAAAACGGGAGTTGAGGGTGGGAAAAAAAGTGGGAAAAACGGGAGTTCAGGGTGGGAAAAAAGGGGGGAAAAAAAGTGGGAAAAACTGGAGTTGAGGGTGGGAAAAAAGTGGGAAAAACAGGAGTTCAGGAAGGAAATAAAATTCCCTGGGGATGGAAAAATCCAGGAATGGGAAAGGGCTTGGGAAAGGAGCCGACCTTTGAGATCCAAGCAGTCGATCCTGGGAGCCAGATCCTTGAATTCCTGGAAAAGCAAAGGTGGGATTTCAGGGAGAGGAGGAGGAAAAGGGAGGGAAAAGGGGAATTAAAGGAATCCCAAAAATCCCCCCCCAAAAAATCTGCTGGAAAAAGGGGAAATCCCAAAAATCCTCCCTCCTCCCAGGCCCAAGGGAAGAGGTTGGGAATGGTGTTCCCAAGAAATTCCTGGGAATTTCTCCACAGGGAAAAGCCCAGAGCTCCTTTTGATGGGAAGGGGCCTCGGGATGCAACATTCCCAAATCTGGGATTCCTGGGGGAGGCGGAAAATGGGAGGGTTTTCCCGGGAAATGGGAGGATTTTCCCGGGAAATGGGAGGATTTTCCTGGAAAATAGGAGGATTTTGCCAGGAAATGGGAGGATTTTCCTCAAAAATGGGAGGATTTTCCTGAGAAATGAAAGGATTTTCCCAAGAAATGGGAGGATTTTGCCAGGAAATGAGAGGATTTTCCTGAAAAATGGGAGGATTTTCCTGGGAAA